ATGCCATAGTAGAGTTGGATTTTTTCCACATTTCTCCAAATGCATACATAACATTGCATGTCCAGTCTAGCTGATGCAAAACACTTCAGGAGGATGAAATTAAAACCTAATGAAACATTTCCTATTGCAATGTGCTTTACATTTAGATATTGTCCTATTCGCCCTGATCAATCTTCGAATGCTTGTAACTTCTCCTATTTCTTCTAAGAACGTAGACCCTTGCTTTTTGTTTGTGGAATTCCAGGTTATAGTTACATCTTTCTCTTAGCTCTTTAAATGATATTAGACATACCATTTTATATTCAGCATAAACCAGGAATGTCTGCCTAATATTCTGCCAATGGCCACAGAATAATAGATTTCTGATTTTTGTTGATTATTAAATTGCTTCCAGGGTGGATTGAAAATATAAGCAACTGACCCTTAATGTCAGTCATAAACACCGAGTCCAAAATTTGACAGCAGTTTCATTGTTTGCAGTGTATTTCTGGTAGTGTGATAATAAGCAGCCTGGCTGTTTTATGGATTTGTCTCTCTCCTGAGCAAACTTAAAAGAAGGCTTGGGAAAACCTACATTGGTTTATTGAGTGTATAAAAGCTGGCTTCTACTGTTATTTTTATCTCGCTACTAGGTATTCTTTTAGTTTCTATATTTGAAGAGAGATTTCAAACTGAGAGTTTTTATTAGTGATATCAAGTATGTCTTTATTATCTAACGTGCAGTAAGTCATATACAAACTAATGGGAGTACTTTATTCTAAAAAATCGTTTCTCCTTTTAATTATATTTCATATCATAAGAAATATAAAATAGTATGAATATGATTTACCCAATTTAAAAATCATCATAAATGGATTATAGATGTAACTTGGAACCTGTTCACTAGACAATGAAATGTGTAAGTATTTACATCTGTTGTTTTTCCTTCATAAGCAATTATTCACTGCAGTTTTGTAATGAGTACTTAACGACATTCTAGCATTATTCACTAGTCATTGCACTGTATTTAGTAAGGGCACATTGATGCTTTTCACAGGACCTGGACTCGAGACACAGCCACAGCACAGGACACTGGAAAGGTTTTCTCTGTAATGCTCCCTCTCTGAATAAAACCTGAAACATTTTTTATGTCAATTCCTGGTCCTCTTAACTTTTTGAAAAATTAATGAGGAAAACTTTCCTTCCATCAAGGTCCTTTGCTAAATATGTAGCCAGCAGCCACCCACATAACAATTAAATGTCATCTGAACAGAAGAAACTGGCATTTGCACAGAATATATTTTGTTATTTTTATGAGATGGGGCTAAACAAATGGGAGCTTTTTGAGAACATAGCTGGCAATGTCACCAATGTCAGCTCTACTCCTACATTCTTCTATACCAGATTTTTAAAAGTCACATACACTGTAGGCAACAGTTTTGTACTGTATGCCACATAGAAAGGCTACCCAAGTGAGTTAAACATTTTTTGAAAATAAATACTTTAATGAAGGTCAGCACTGAAAAAATAAGAGAGGTGAGAGTTATAAGTAACAAAATGAATATTAAATAACTAAGAAATAAAGTAGAAAATTTTCAACTACAAGAAGCCAGACTATCACATTGTACAACAATTGAACTATGTTATTATTAATTTATTGAGTGATGTAGAATTTTTATAAACTATGTTGTCCCGATAGAGGTCAGTTACACACTTTTCTCTCTAATAAACACAATGGTAGAATGATAGACAGATGATCTAGATCTCAATAGATAAGTGCTTGCCTGCAAGCATGAGGGCATGTTTTATCCTCAGCACTCTTACGAAGAGATGTGAAATGTGGCAATGAGAATGGATCACCAGGATGTTGAAATCTCAGAAGTGGAGACAGGTAGATCCCTGGGACTTGCTGGTTAACCAGTTTAGCCCATTTGGCAAGCCCCAAGCCAGTAAAAGATCATAACTCAAAAATCAAGGTGGATGGTGCCTGGTGAATGATACTACAGGATGACTTCTGGCCTGTACGTACAGTTGCCGAGATATGTAGTCACATATACATGAACATGCACAAGCACAAACAAACTCACCACCCCAACACCAGTTTTCAAGAGGCTGCTATGGTGGATTACCATAGACACTGTAATACAAGACATCATTTCCAGGATTATGGAATTTGGCCAGCTGACATCTGAATGAAAGGACAAAACCTATGCATATTTGTGTGCATGTGCATGTGCATGTGTGTGTGCGCGCGCATGTGTGTGTGTGTGTGTGTGTGTGTTAGTGTATACACATCTACCATGTGGATTCCAGGGATCAAGCACAGCCATTAAGCTGGGCATCAAGTCTTCTCCTTAGTCCATATTTGCATTTATTTTCAGAATTTCTAATTTGATTTTTGTAAGTTGGTTAATGAAATTCTCATATTGTGGCTGAGGAAAGTACAAGCAAGCCTGGGAAATGTGATGGCAACAGAACACATATTCATAGTTCCTCTGATTGCAAATTATGCACTGATGTACTGAAGGATTGTGGGCATGATATTAAGAAACATTCTAACTCCATCATTGTTGCTGCAAAGATAAATGGCACACTTGTTGACGGCATAGGTAATTGTTTATTGTAGAAATTACTCACAAGAGAAAAGAAGCAACCCAGATGAGTCAAGAAGTTTTTCCTCCACCGAACCGGAAGCCCAAAAAAAGGGCGAGCGCAGTTCTGCTGCAGTCTTTTATCCCTACCTCCATACACGATTCTAGCCACGCCCAAAAGTGGGCCTGGCTAGCAGCATAGTTCACTGCCTGCATCCGTATGCATCTTTCGTCATGCCCAAAGTGCTTGTGGTTAGCGGTGCGGTAAACGGCCCTTTTATTACTTCATCTGTATGTGCCTCTAATACGCCATGTGGCTAATGGCAGAATCCTAAGTTTCCCCCTACACATCATCATGAGTAGTAGTGAAATATAGGGTACACATGGAAAAGAAACAAAAACGTGAGGTCTGATGTCACTCCAATTAAATGAGAGAAGGTTAACATGGATCAGACTTTCATACAGGCAACCAACATTGCCATAAGTGAACTTGAAGCATTGGCTATAGACTATATCATGAAGACTTTGACAGCCAAGTTATGGGGTCTCAGTTTGTTCTGAGAACTACTACAGGGCTAGGACTTGCTTCAAGCAGGATAACTAGGCTTCTCTGTTAAAAGCTTGCTATGGCCAAATTCCATAACCTTGGAAATGGTGTCTTGTATTACAGTGTCTATGGTAATACACCACAGCAGCATTTTAGAAGACAATGGGATAAGCATAGGGCAGGGTCACTTCGACAAGGCTACTTTAGAGGCTTCAGAACAAGGAAGTAGTAAAGGAATGGAAAGGAGTAGACCCATTTGAGTGTGTGTGTGTGTGTGTGTGTGTGTGTGTGTGTGTGTGTGTGTGTGTGTGTGTAGGCCAGAAGTTGAGGAAGGATAACTTTCTTGATCTCTCTTCACTTTGTTTCCTGAGGAAGGGTTTCCTGCTGGATCTGAAGCTGGCTCATTGACTAGCCTAGCCAGACTAGACAACTACCTACCCAGGAACCCCTCACACCTCTGCCTTCCTTATTCTGGGATTATGGGGTAGGGGCAAGGTTTCTACAACAGGCTGGAATTATGGTGGGTGGCAAGCCATTCTAATTTTTAAGTGATTGCTGGGAATCCCACCTCAGGTCATCTCTTTAAAGTAGTCTTGGAGGATATCAGGGTTCTCTCGAGGCCCATTAAGGGAAGCTATTTATTACTGGTCAAAAGAATGGCATCTGCCTCTGGTCCTGGGTACAAATATGGCATCCCACTGACTCTTTTCTTAAAAGCTAGTCCAGCTAGGCCTGTCAATTAGCTGGCCAAAAGACCACACCCCAGAAAACTGATTCAGTTTAAGCCCCACTAAAAAGAGGAGAAGAACAAATTACCCATTTCAAGGGATATCACGGTTTTCCTTCCCAGAAACCCTACCCTTGGTACAGTTTGCACTTGCAAAGTCCCTGCATGCGAATGAGCATGGCCATCCTTATCCTCCTTCTGAATAAAGCTCTCCTTCCTTTCTCACCAACACTGACAAGAGCCTACATCAGTGCTTCTCAGCCTTCCTAATGCTGTGACCTTTTAATACAATGCCTCTTCTTGTGCTGACCCCCAAACATAAAGCTATTTTGTTGCTACTTGATAACTGTGATTTTGCTACTATTATGAATTACAGTGTAAATATTTGTGTTTTCCAATGGTCTTGGTTGATCCCTGTGAAAGGGTCATTTGACACCCAAGAGGTCACAACCAGCAAGCTGAGAACTGCTGGCCTCCATGTTTTCACAGACAGTGTGGGCTTTCTTACCCAATTTCTCTCAAGCTACCTGCCCTCCATCACTTTCTGTCATGTGGGTGCATATAATTGGCATAGTTTTCCTCCTCCTTCCCTCGCTCCTCCTGCTCCTTCTCCTCCTCTTCTTCCTCCTCTAGCTGCCCCAGATTTACAACTTGCCTGCCCTGGAATTTTTCTTCTACACACTAGTGAAATTGTCCTTGAGCTTGCTCTGAGTCCATTCTGAAATTGTTACTAATGAAAATAATAACTTTGAGTAAGACCCTAGTTTACCTGCTGACATGTGGCAACCCAGATGTGACTCCACCAGATTTCCAGTGACAATACTTTACCCACTAAGCTATCTTCCAAGTCACTGAATTGAATTTTTAAAAGTTGCACCTTCTGTGATCCCTTTGGGAAGCCACTGCAAAGAAGCAGACATGTAGGGAAGCAAATGTTTACAGCCTGGTCTGCCTCACTCAATAAGACATGTAGCTAAAAGGTTAAATGCTGGGCAGGAGACTGGAGATCCGCTGGGTTAGCAAAGACAATTTGCTTCTATATATAAAGTGTAATAAAAGTTTCAGTGCTCTGTGACTGGGGACAAATAACGACAGAAATCATAATGAAAACTAAGGTATTTCTTTATCTAAACATGATTCATGTGTTCTTTTCAAGCTGTGTTGTTCTTTAATCTCTGATGCACTGGATGCTACGCAGTTTCCCACAAAACATCTTGGTTGCCAGACTGCAGAAAGGTATGTCTGGAGTTGTTTTCAAAGACTTCAATTGCACAGTATTGAAGTTATTTTTCTTTTCTTGCATTTAAAAAAATTTAAGCTTGACTATATTTTGATCATATTCTTCCCTTTCTTCAAGTCCTTCCAGATCCTCCTCCCTTCCCTTCCCACCAAACTTTAAGTTCTCTTTCAGAAAACAAACAAAAACCTAATATAACAACAAAATGCCCCACAAAACAAGAATAAAACAAAAATATGAAATTAAACATGTACACACACACACAAACAAACAAACAAAATACTAAACTGCAACAAAAAACACATATGAAAAACCTGTGTATTCCATTATATGTTGGTCAAATATTCCTGAACATGAGGCCTCTTTTGGAATGGTTGATATACCTAGTGTCACTCCATTGGAGAAAACTAACTTTCCCTTTCCCAGAAGGCATAAGTAACATCCATTCATTTTTTTTTAATATAACGGAATAAGTTGTAATAAAATTAAAAAAAACCCTATCACATCAAATTGGCCAAGACAAACTACTGGGAGGAAAAGACCCAAGAGAAGGCATAAGAATTAGAGACCACTTATTCACATCCAGGAATCCCATACACATTCTAAACTGGGAGCTGTGATTTATATACAGAAGGCCTTGTGCAGACCTGCGCAGGCCCTAGGCTTGCTGCTTCAGCCTCTGTGAGCTCATATGAGCTTTGCTCATGTTGACTGAGAGGGCCTTGTTTTCTTTCCCCTCTGGATCTTAAACTCATTCTGCCTCCTCTTCCTTGAGCTCTGATGGGAGGGGTTAGATGGAGGCATCCCATTTAGGGATAAGTGTTCCAAGGTCTCTCATTCTACGTGTAATGTCAGGCTGTAGCCTCTGTGTTTGTCTCTACCTACTGCAAGAGGGGGCTTCTTTAATAATGGCTGAATAAGGCACTGATCTATGAATATAGCAGAATGACATTAGGAGTCATTTTATCACTACAGTTTTTTCTTTTCTTGCTTTGGATCAGTACAGAAAGCCAATAAAACAGAAACTCCCTAAAATATATACATGAATGAAGGCAATCTAAATGAAATTAGCAAACAATGGGGGAGACAGAGTCCCAACTGTATGTCTCTTCTCCCTAAACAAAGCTTTCAGTACTAGGATGGGGTTACATCTAACTGAATTTTCTTTTAAACTCTGGGGTGGCACCTGGAAGTTCTTCTCTGAGTAGGTACATTGTCAGATAGAGAATGGAAACTGTTTATTATCCGTACTGACATATCTCTCTACTATGCTGTCTACCCAGGTTTGTAACTGGGTATATTCCAGATACTATGGGAAATAAACAAATAATTCTTTGGGATCCTCTTGGAAATTAAAGGGAAATCAAGCAGAAAGACACCAGTAGTGGAAGGAATGAGGGAAAGAAAAATGGGGAGAGAGGGAGGGGAGTGGTTGTATTCTGGTGCAGATTTATTACTTATGGCTCTGCAAAGTTAAGCCTTTCAGTTGCTTCTCTGTACAAAGAAGCTTCTGGGACCAGATGATACTCTGGTATTTGAAAGAGGATTTAATTTTTATTAGGAAAATTAGAGTTTGGACTAGGTGGTATTACAGACTGAATCAATACGTAGTAACAGAACTTGACTTGTACATTGCAATGAATAATTTAGTGAGTGAGGTCTCTGCACTCATACTCACAGTCCACACTAATGACTTGCTAATTATTTCAATTGATTTTCAATGAAATGTGGACGACTTTGTTGACATACCAGTAAACAAAGACAGACTGTGCAGTCTGTGTGCCTCGTACTTACATCTTACTGCTGTGTTTCTGAATGGAAATAAATGCACTGAAATAAACATCTCTGTGTATGTGTTACCAGAATTACCACTGAACATATGCAATGTCTTACAGAATCCTAATTTATATTGGAGCGAACAGAGGAAAAGGTAATTATGTGACATAAGGAATTGTGAAGCTGATGGAATTTTGGAGAACTATATAACTCATTCATGTATAGAAACTCCCTGTGTCATGAACAGATTATAGCAGATAAGTGAGCGATCTGTAATCACACAAAAATATAATCCTCCAGACCTACTGTTAAATAAAAAAGACAAGTCGTAAAAACATTTATGCACATACATGCCTTGCATATGAAGCCATGAATGTAAAACATGATACTCCCTTGAATTAATAACTATAGGGACATACCACAGCATCCATGACAAAACATCCAACATAGGATGCCGCTATTTCAATGTCAAAAAGAATGTGTGAACACTGGCAATAAGAACCATTGGAATCAAGAGGCAACAGTCCACTGCTGATAAAACGTTAGAACAGGTTAGAAGTCCAGGGCTCAAGCTTCTGAGATGTCATTAGTTAAAAATGTTAGAACAGGCCAGAAATCCAGGGCTCAAGCTTCTGAGATGTCATTAGTTAAATCTTTCAGGTATACAATGAAGAGTCTACATAGAAGCGTATACATAGAAGAGTCTAAAAGAGCAACTTGGGTGATTCATTTGAGTTGTGCTGTTTTGTTGGAGACCACTTCACTCTGTAGCTTATGGTGTCCTGGAATTCTCTATGTACCAAGGTTGGCCTTGAGCGCAAAGCAATTCTCCTGCTTCATCTTTTCCAAATGCCCAGTTAACAGATGCTAGCCATCTACACCCTCATTCGGGTTTTCACTTTTTTTCAAATATCAATAATTCACCTTTGTTACAAACAAAAATTTAAAAAGGGAAAAATGTAACTTTCCAGGTTTTATCTTCTAAATGTTGCTTTCACTTATCTCAAATTCTTAGATTATTTTTTCTTTGACTTTATGATTTTACTTTTTCTTAATAAAAATGCAGTAACCATGCACATTTTGGGGTTTACACACTCACACACTCACACACACACACAGTATATGTAGATCCAATTGACATAATCAGCATTTTTATGTCTTTACACTGATATCTTTTAATGATATTTTCTCATTTTTATGGTAGAGAAGTATTCCTTGTGCATGTTTTCCATACTTTCTTTTGGATGACTCATCTCTGATCCCAATGGAAACAGATTGGATACTCCTGTGAAATTTGATGGCCCGCCATGCACCAAGCGTTTTCATTTCTGAAAAATGCAGAGGTGAGCACCAGCATCATATACCCCCTCCCTTAGCTTGTGGAGCCCTGATTGGACCATCATTTACTCATCCAGCCAATATTTACTGTATATCTAGTTAAGTACCAAGGGCCCAACCAGGAGATTCCATATTGGGTTAAACAGGCAGCACCTTTCAATCTGTAGCATAAGGAGAAATAAAAGCATTTTTTGGAGATGCTTCAGTGTCATTTCTTGTTTTAATATATCATCCAGGATGAATAAAGTTATTTGTATCCATGATGAGGCCCCTTGGAAATCAGTAACCCCTATCCAGGAATGATGGTCACTTACTGAGCATGAGAAAAGTGTTTTAAAAGAACAGAGGCACTTTAGGACCTTGGAAGACATAGATCAAAGACACAAGCACTTGCTGGGTTTCTCTCTTTAGCTGATCTTCTCTTACTACTACCACTCCAAACCCAGTGTCTTCTGCTGCTCTGGTCTCTAGGATAGAAAATAGTTACACAATTTCTGATTTTACATCACGTAATCTAAACATTGAGATCCACAACCCAGGTCTTAAAATCAAAATCCTAAGAAAGGAAATCATTCATTGGTCATGCTTGGGCTGTCTGTCCTCTCATTCCTTGGACTGTGTCTATTCAGTGGTCAATGATACATTGGGAACAATGTTAGATGCCAGGCCAAAGGACCACATGATGAGTTACTTTGAAATATGGTGGTTCTTGGCACATCTCCGAAGGCATTACCAGAGGGGAGGAGAAACCTGAAAATGAAATGGAGCCCCAGGGGCAGGCTGCCACAGAGAGGTGGGTGATGAGCTGATGCCAGGCCATCACGTCACAGCATGCTCACACTCCCAGCATACCGGGGCAACAAAGGGGTTCATTACTTCACTAAATTCTTAAGGATCTTTTAAAAGGTATAACCAGTGTTTATACCAAGATAAAATAAGTTTTTTAGAACCAAAGCATAATTCAGGTACAGGGCAAATACCTGCCTGTCTCAGAAAACACTGTCTGAGTGACCTGCCCAAATATCCTCTAAGAAACACCCCATGATCTACAGGTACCCCTAAGTCTTGTGAGGCCCAGGTATGCACACACTTCTGTAACAAAGTTTATCTCTGATTTTTAAGACTGCAACAATTCAAATGGGATGCTCTGGATGAGATGCTTGCACACTCACACTCCCCCACCAATGAGTAGGAGCCAATTCAGCTTGTAATCTCCAAGGCTAATGGACTTTGTATCTAAGCAGCTTACACATGTTTTCCCTTTTCACCAGTAAAATCTCCACTTTGCCTCTGCCTCCTTGAATTGCACATTTCACCCTGGTATCTCACTCAGAATCTCGCAGTATTACTTTGTTTCTGGAGATGCTGTTGCTCATTGGAAAGCCCCTATGTATTTGGTTTAATCGAGCACTTTCCTGTTATGATGCTTGGCTACTGAACGTTAGTCAGTCTTGAAGGATTTGAAATAACTTAAAGGTGAGGACTGTGTCACTTCTGGCAAATGAAACAAAGGGATGGAGCATTGCTCAGTCACATTGGAGGACACAGCACACAAGGCCATCAAATTACCCGGGGCTAGGTGATTGAGAATTAATATTAAACTTGGAAGATGAAATGGATGCATGGCAAAGTGAGGGATGGCCATGTTTACACCTGAAGACAAGTGAGGGCAACAGGTAGATCAGTCAATGAGTACAGGCCTCATCCTTTGGACCCCCTGTATGTTGTCACAACAAGAAGATTAAGCAGCACCCTACAGGGTAAGAGAAAACTTAGCCATGCAAACAGTCAAGGAAATGTCCGGATTAAGGTGGCAAGCATGGCAGTGTCCAGATAAAGGAGGCAGGGGTAAGCATCCATTTGGTTTTAAAAAGTTGGCCATACTGAGCAAAATCAGGTTCCAGCAAACAAAGAAAAAGACACTCAATTTCCCAGCATCACTATCAGGATAAGCAGTCTGATTTTGCAGGCAAAGATCATGCTCTTTCATTACAGAGACTCAGGAGAGAAGAATGCTATGAATCCAGTCTGGAAGGAAAACTTTGGAAGAGGAAGCAGACTCTTCAGAGTTCACACTAAGCGTCCAGGCTGAGTGAAAACCCGAACCGGCTTCAGGGAGAAAACAGGTGACAGTTCTCTGCCTCAAGCATCGCAAGGTTGTCTTTTGCTTTCATACTTAAAAAATACAGGAGAATTAACATGCTAATGATGTCTGTTGAACTTTGGGAAAGACAATGTCTCTGTCTTGCTTTGGCTATCTTGATGTGGATGTAGGACTTGACTAGGACTTGACATACAGAAAATTGTATCACTGTTTATAAGGAACATGGCCAACATGTATTTCAGAGCAGAGTTCTACAGAACCAGAGGGTGAATAGTGTTTGCTTTTGAAATAGGCTTTCACTATATAGATCAGACTAGTCACCAGCTAGTCTGCTGCCTGAGCCTCTGGAGTGCTGGGATTAGTGAAACTTAGCTATTTTCTCTCTGTTAGTGTCATAGTTTTTGCCAACCTGATACAAACCTGGACACATTTGGGAAGATGGACTCTATCATCTGAAGAACTGTTTTCACCAGATTGTCTAGGACGGTGTGGTATGTCTATGGAACATTTATATTTTCCAAGTTGATAACTGATGGGAGAAGACTCTCCATGATGGACTGTAACCTACAAACCTAGAAAACACTTTCCTCCCCCTTTCTCTCCACAGAGAGCAAACTTAAACTGTTTGTTAGCTTACCTCCTTCCTTATGTACTGCTGCTGGGGTTGACTGACATCATCAAACGTGTTTACCATATGCTGTCATCCCTCAGCCTAAATCCACCCCAGGCAAGAATTTAGCTATATGAACTTTTAAGGGTTAAAACTCAGGGAGAGTGAGGCAGCCCAGGTCAGGGTGCAAGTCCTACTAATTAATACAGGGAACCCACAAAGGATGCTCTGATAAACCAATGGATGTCCTGGGAGTATGGACCTTGATTACTAGGAACACTAAAACAAGCCTAAGGGAACATTTGGCTAGGGTGTTGGAACACCAACATAAATAATATTTATTCACCACCATGGTAAGGCAGTGGAGCATCTGCACACATTAAGCTCTATGCTATTGGAAGGGTGACAAATCTGCAGAGTGATCAGAGAAAATGAAATTAGAGCTGAGCTGAAGGTGTCGCATGCGGGGGAAGGGATGTTGGGGGGTCACAGGTCCGGGGTCTGCAGCTCTGAGAGTGGAGTCAGCAAGGGGATTATTCTGGTAGATTTGCAAAGCTCACAGATTCCACAGACTATGAAGTTGAAGTCTAGGCAGCTAGAAGTAGTGAGGAATTTTTTTCCTGGTGGAGACCCTTTAGACTCTTCTCTTTGTCCCAATTTATTATTTTGTCTTGTGATAGAGTCTCCTTTGCTTTTTGTCACAATAAATTGTCCTTGTGTACCAATGTGTTGACTGGGCACAGGGGCCATTTTGTCCTATAATATCTGTGGGGCTGGTATCCTCAAGAAAACGGACATTTTTTCTCGGTCGCTGTAATATCCTTGTATTCACCATATTGTTTGGCACCTGCAGCTGTGAAGTCCTCAGGACACACTGTTGAGTGAAGGTATGCCTGACCTCAGAGGTGGCTTGTGGAGAAAGATGTGGCCAGGAAATGGTCCTCCCTGCAGTCATCCTGACACTCCCTTCTAGCTTCCACATGAGCAACCAGACTGGACTGACCTGATACGGAACGGATCCTCCCAAGCATTCTAGCCAGAGCCAGAACAGGATTTTATTTTACTTTTCAGTTTTTTTCTTAATCACTAAAGGTACAAGATTAGGCAGCATCCTGCCTCCTGAGCTGTAACGGAGTCTTACTTACGCATCTCAGAACAGGCAAATCTGTGGATGCTGCTTCATTCTGCAAAGATAACAGGCTGGAGCCATGAGCTTCACTGAAGCTCTGGTCTCTCATCTTCCTATAAAGGCAAGGTCTCATTGGATTGGCATCTTACCCTATGTACTATTTGTCCTTAATTAATTCTTCACAACATTCTTTTGATCAGCAAAGATTAAGTTTTCACCGACTTTATTACTAACTACATGGAAAATGTTAAATCCCCATTTTATAGATGACAAAACTGAGTCTCAGAAGGGCTAAGGAATGTGCTCAGGTCACAGAGCTAAAGAGAAGGGTCTGAATCATATAGCTGAGCTACTCAAAACCTTTCTGAATGGAAAACTTGTACTCTTAAGTGCAAAAAAAACCCACTAAAAATAAAACTCGTGATAGCACACAAATGGGTGTTTTAAATTAGATATTATAAATGCAAGTGGATAAAAACGCTTGCTGCATAAGCATGAAGACGGAGTTGAGATCCCCAGAACTGACATGGGAATCCAAGTGACCCAACTGTAACCTCAGCCTTTGGGAGGTGGAGTGGGGGGCTTTCAGCAAGCTGGCTGGCTAGACTGGCCAAAGTTGGAACACCACCGTCGGCACGAACCCTGCCAGTGATAGAGGAAGACATGGGCATTCGATCTCTGCCCTTCACACAAGCACATGAATCCTCACACACATCTGCATGCACATACATGTGAACATGCAGTTGAAACAAACACAACACACACACATACACACATGCAAATTAAATGTTTAAGGAAAGGACAACATGGGTACTATAAGGCAGTCTATCACATGATGACTAGACAAGTTTTCATTTCTCTGTCATCCACTTTCTCCTCCATTTTCAAAAGACTGTGGTTTATCACCCTCTGCCAGCATGTCAGAGATGCTGAAAAAGATTTAGTTTGGGATTCTGAAGTATTTTTATTAACTTAGAAAAAAAGCCCAGGAAAATCAAGGGAGTGTAGAAATCAGTCTTTACCTCCATTTCAAAGGCTTCAAGCAAGAGCGTGATAACAAGCTAAGTGTTTTCTGCGGCAACTGAAGTGTAAGTGAGGCCCAAACATCTGGGATCCTGAGTGCTGGCTTCACCTGTGGGAGCTTCGAGAGCTGGAGGCAGTTCCTCTTACAGGGTGTGCATGTCTGTGTGTGTGTGTGTGTGTGTCTGTGTAAACATAGATACATGTGTTATAACCTGTATGTGGAGGTCAGAAAACAATACAGTAGAATTGGTTCTCTTCTTCCATGTTTACCTGGGTTCTGGGTATTGAACACAGGTTGCCTGGCTTGTACAACAAGAACCTTTACCCACTGAGCCATAATTTTGGCTCTGAGGTGCATTTTGCTTGAAGACTGTTGTCACATGATTTGACTGTTTCTTAGTACATCTTGTTTCTTACTGACAGACTAAGCAGTCTTTATACATATTGTCCTTTATGTACTGGAGACTGGTAAAACTCTCTAGAAGTTGTAGGCAAACATGATGCTTGCAAGTAGTTAAGAATGAGATCTTTTCAAGTTTGCTTCCTTTGCTACATTCTAGTCTACAGGGTCCAATTTAGTCCTTCATTTAATACACACCTATGAGGCCTCATCATGTAAGAAAATTGACATTAGGAATTAGTTTTCAGGGAGAATAGCCTACACATTTATCACATGAGGCTTAATTCAATATTATAAGTATTTTTTGCAAAATTATTAAATAATATAGTATCTCACAGTCATAATTTATACAAATTGGGGGATTAAGAATCATGTTGGGAACACGTCATAGACTCTAGAAAACAGTTATAAACAATCTCTTTAACATAGACCACTGCACAAATCAAACATATCCAAACTGTCAGCAAAGGTAAACCAAGGAAGATATTTAAAAATGGAAATAACATTTAAACTTGTCACACTAGTGACTGTGCACTGCTGTTCAATGTTGTTTAGTATATACTTCAGGGCTTCTTACATAGGATGCCCTTAAGTAGGTCACAACTGGAAACAATTAAGAAATCAATCTGCTTCTGCTTTATTTTTAAAAGACAATCTCCAAAGTCCATTTCTCCCAAACGAAAAAGGTGAATTTCATTAACAGCCAAATGTATACATTTCTGAGTTGTTCTCTGGCACTTCCCTTAATAATATCATTTTAATTATAAATATACCCATTTAAGCAGTCACTGAATGTCTTCTAGGCACAGACATTTGTAAACCAAATGAAGAATACATAAGATGAACTTGGCCGAGGTCAGGAAAACAAGGTCTATGTGCCAAATCTGGCCTATCATCTCTTTTTGTAAAGTATTATTGAAACATGAATTCATCAGTTTTTTCACTTTTGTCGCATATTGTCAGTGTTGAGTAGTTATGACAGAAACACTGCGACCTGCCAAGTCAAAAAAGTCTTGCTATTAGTATTTTAGAAGATCGTCAACCTTCACTTAACAACAAATGTTTGGAGAATTTTCGTGTTAATGTTGAAGATCAACATAAAATTTAGGAATGAAAAGTGAGTCTCACATATTTTTCTCCTATTTAAGCGTGGTAGAGATTAGTGGGCAGATCAGAGAGGGAATAAGTTCTATACTTCTATAGGCATTTGGAATAAAAGGCATTGATGTTGTGCTGAAGAAACCAGGATGCCCCCTTCAAAACGACACAAATTGTAGAGAAAGAAAAAAGCCAAACTTAAAATATTTTCTACTTTCAAGATTTGGGCATTTGAGTTGTGGGTGTTGGAAGATTTCTGGCTCATCATACATCTGCCACCATCACAATTTACTCAATACCAAGGCGGCATTGTGGATATCATTTAAAGGGAGAACATAGGGTCTGCATGTTACCTGAGTGCTGTTCTTCAATCCAGACTTGCAGATACATGAAGAGTAGAAGCCCTGCTGTCCCAAAGAGCAGGACAGAAAGGAAGACTTGTTTGGGGTTCATGACCACTTCAGATGGCTGTGTTTCTCTTCATGTCCGAATGCAAAGGCTACATGGTTATTGCTCCATGGAGTTTCAATCTTTTCTTGGTCTCTTGAGGCCCATTCCTCAAAGTAACCTAGAATTTCAAACAATCCACATTATACATGTCTGGGTTTGTGTTCAAATACGGCAAAAGCAAAAGCAAGCACGTGAACAGCACTGAAGTCTCAAATATGTGGTAACTCACTGAAAGAGGACTCCTGTAGTAAACACTCCAGGAGCAACTTGGTATCTTATCTGTGGAATACTGTGTGCTCTTATCCCACCCATAATAAAGCCCAGCGTGACATTTAATCAAGTGAAAAGGCTGGGTGGCATTTAAGCTGTTTCCTGTTGTAAGGAGTGACGGTAAGGTTTGGGTTACTATAACTAACATAATGGCAAAGAGAAGAATGGAAACAGAATGGATTGTTGATGAATGGAGAATGAGGTTTAGGACATGCTTGCAGGGTTTGGGAAACCCTGTCATTTGTTTAGTATCTGAGGACAGCAGGATGCTCAGACAACTTGGGACAAAGAATACAGTATCCTCATGTAACCATGCACCTCCTGTGGTGTATGTTAAAGTACCTCTAGGCTAGGCTATCTATTCCTACCCCCAACGCAGGGTATATGTCACATGAATGTCTGCAGCAGGCTGCTCTCCATGGAATATGCTTGGGAAAGGGCCTCAGGCTCCTTTCTGATGTAGTTGTTTGTTTTTGAATATTTGGATATGTAGTTGGTTGGATCTCTGAATGAAGTCTGTACACGTTCAATACAGATGCTTGTTTTTGCCAAATATTTTCAAGTACACATTTGATGAATCTGTAGATAAGGAGGACTGACTGTATACAGAATTCAAAACAGAAAAGTTTAATTTAGCATTCTTCATTTAGGTAAAAATAACAGATTTATAAAATTTAAATGATGAATTTACAATCTTCGTGGGGCATAAAAAGTAGAAAAGCCCTGGGTCCAAAAATTCCCTCTCAAAAGTACATAATTAATGAAATTTATCAGAGAGCATAAAAATCCACCTGGGCAAGGAAAGATCACTTTAATATAAAACAAAAGAAAACCAATTCAAATCAGCTTTTTCTTTGAACAAAATTACTTTAGTCTCAATTTTATTCTATGTCACACCCACTTCTGAGAATCTAATGGAAATGTGAATATTCTTCTTAGAAAAATATGACCACTCATAAGAGCCTGTATCAGATGCTGGTGTCCGTGTGACTCCCATGAAATTCAAGTGAGGATCGTGGCTCCTACTAAACCACACCAAACATAATGGGCCCTCATCTGGTGAACAGCCTGACAAATGGGGTCACTGTCAAGAAAGCATCTATGACACCCAGAGAGCCTTGTTGGCCACACACCACATTTCCTCTCTGGAAGAGTTGCATAAATGTTTCTTCAACGTAAAGACATTGTCCACAATGCTATGTCTATAACTCATCTCTTACCCCAAATATGACTCAAAAACTTTGAGGAGAGTTTTTGAGGGAGAATGCTAATGTATCTTACTAAGAGGGGGGGATTAGTTAGCTTTTTGTTGCTGTGATAAAGCATTCCAATAAAAAGGAACTTGAGTAGGGAAGCATTTATTTCATCCTACATTTGACAGTCCAATATTGTTGGAAGCCAGGATAGGAGCTCAAGGAGAATCATCTCGCCATTCTCTTTCCTTAGTCCAACTCCTCCCAGGCCCCCTGCGATTCCTGGCCTCCTTTTCTTTGTTATTATTACATATTTATATGCATAAATATTTAAATATAGCCTGGCGAGTCCACTTACCCTTTTAATCCTGTTACAGTCACATAGTTATGGGGTAAATTCCTAGCATTCCTTTTCCTTTCAACACTAAGACCATGCACATGGACTGGTGCCTTTCCTGTTGTCAGTCCCTGAAGGTATTTTTCTACTTTCTACTACCTCAGCTAAATGGAATCATCAGTATTTTGTTGTTTTTATTAAAGTCATATTTTTATTTTGTGTGTGCAAGTGTTTGTCTACATGTACATCTGTGTATCATTTACATGTCTGGTGCACACAGAGGCCAGAAGATGGCTTAGATCACCTGGAATTGGAGTTAAAGATGACTGTTAGCCTCCATGTGGTTTCTGGGAACCAAATCCAGTTCCTCTGCAAGTGCTATTAACCACTGAACCATTTCTCTGGCCTCAATACTTGTCTCTCTGTTTTCCTTTCCTTTCCTTCTTTCCTTAACTTTCCTTCCCTTCCTTTTTTCCTTCCATCCTCCTTTCCTTTCTTCCTTCTTTTTCCTCTGTTTCCTTCCTTCTTTCTTTCCCTTCCTTCCTTCCTTCCTTCCTTCCTTTTCTCAACCTCCCTTCCTCCCTCCCTCCCTCTCTTCCTTCCTTCTTTTTTTTTGATTGATTTTGTGTCACATAGCACAATGCTGCCAAGGTTTGTTTAGATTGTAGTTTGTTCTAAAATTTCCTTCTAGTTTAAGGACAAAAAGAATTTGATAATTTGTGTTTGCCCACTCACCTGTTAATGGACACTAGGGTGGTGCCCACTGTAAGGTTATTGTGGTAACCTCTGTGAAGGTGAGGTCCACATATCCTTTAAGAGCCTCCTTTCAGTACTACTTCTCAGCACATTTCCTGAAATCCCACTTCTAGCTCCCACAGCAATGCCATGGTGCGCTCGTTAAGTTTTGAGGGAGCACTGGTGGTTCTCCCACTTTTTATTCCTGTTAGCATTGTGCCAAGCTTTGGTTTCTTTAAATTCTCTTTCTTTTTTGGTTTGGCATTGTGTGTGAGTGTGTGTGTGTGTGTGTGTGTGCGTGTGTGTTGTTTGTTTTTAGTTAGAGGCTCACTTTGTAGGTTAGGCTGGCATTGAATTCATGATCCTTCTGCCTCAGTCTCCCAAGTACTAGGCCTACAGGTGTGGGCTACCATGTCCTGCTCATATTCTCTATATGCTTATTAATTCTCATTCATTTACCTTCAGTTTTTACTTATTTTTATTAATTGTCAACTTAATGAATGTGAGGTAGTATGGATTTAACTTTCAGGTTCTTTTTTTAATTCTTTTTTTTATTACTTGAATTTTAAGTAGCTTTCTTCACATGTCAATCCCAGCTCCCTCTCCCTCCCCTCCTCCTGCACCCCTCACTATCACCCCCAGCCTCCCACCCTATCCCCACTTCCTTCCACATAGGGGATATCCAGAGTCTGTCATTTCCCTCAGGGCAGGGTCCAGGCACTCCCCTAAGAGTCCAGGCTGAGAGAGCATCCCTCTTTGTATTATGGACACACAAAGTCCGTTTGTATGCCAGGGATAAACACTGATCTACTGCCCAGGGCCCCATAGGTTGCCCAGGCCTCCTCACTGACTCTCACATTCGGGGGTCTGGATCAGTCCCATGCTGGCCTCCCAGCTGTAGGTCTGGTCCAAGAGCTCTCCCCTTGTTCAGATCAGCTGTCTCTGCTGGTTTTGCTAGCTCATTCTTTGCCAATTTACTCATCGCTCCTCTCTCTCTGTCACTGGGTTCCATTGGTTCAGTTCAGTGTTTAACTGTGGGTGTTTGCCTCTGCTTCCATCAGTCACTGGATGAAGGTTCTAGGATGGCATATAGGCTAGACGTCAAGCTCATTATCAGGAATGGGCATTTAAGGTGGTCTCTCCACTATTGCTTAGCTTGCCAGTTGGTGTCATCCCTTTAGATCACTAGAGGTCTCACTGGTGCCAGATCTGTCTTCTAACCTATGACTCCCTCTTTTATGGTATTTCTCATCCTGTTCTCCTCCTATTCTACTTTGAGTTTCCTAATGAGTAGGGATTTTGAGAATTTTCGTGTGCCTTTTGACCATTGGTATAAAAAATTGTCTATAAATTTTTTTGTCCATTTTATTTATGTTTCAAGGATTCCTCCTCAAGGATACTGCCTTAGGGTGGAACCACCAGCAAGTGGTTTGGGCCCTCCCACATAAATCATTAATCAAGAAATATGCCTTATAGACACGCCCACAGGCCAATCTGATGGAGGCAAGTCCTCATCTAGGGTTCCTTCTTCCCAGGCAACTGTAGCTTATGTCAAGTTAAAATTAAAAGCTGCTATGAGTAGTTGTAGGGCCAGTCAAATGATACGATTTACTCTCTTCCATTCCTTCTAATATTATCTCATTATGTAGTTCAGTCAAACTCTGGTTTCTCCTGTGTCCACCTTATAAGTACTAAGATTAGAGTGTGTATCACTACATGTAACTTAGTTAGTCATTGTTAGGAAACCAGTTTTTACACAGAACTTGGTTTCAAAGACAATATGAGGTCAGATTTCATCGGGGATGTATAAGATATTTAGAATGATCATTTGATTAAGAAGAAAATACAACCCAATTCTAGAAAGCAGTTATGCATAAACAAAATTAATCCACCACAAGCATTCATTTTCTTTGCATTTTAACTGTAATTCAGAGAGGGCCAGAATGAAACAGCTATTGTTGTTAGCATTTCCGGTCACTTGTTCAAACCAATTTTTCTCAGACACCTAAGGAGTGGCAACTCAATGATTTTACCAGCTCTTGGGGGATTTTTAGTACTTTGATTGTGGCAAGAAAGCAGGTTTTAAAGATGTCAAAAATCTGCTGATTTGGAGGGCCTATATTTTGCACCTATATTGAATGAAAACTAAATATACATGGGCGTTTCAGGCATCTGCAGCAAAGAACAACTTCCAAGGGAAACTGAGAAGAAGCTAGCTTTCTCCTCCTTTGCTAACCGCATTTAAACAATGGACTGACATATTTCCTGGGTATATAAGAAGATGCAGATAGGAGGAAAACAGTTAAACCAAATCTAGTACTAACAAAGAAATAGTTGTTTACAAGAACAAACAGATTTTTACAACCTGTCCACATAATTAAAACTTATCTCAAAAAAGGAAAGATAGAAGAAAACTTAGAAATCACAGTGGTGTTACAAACCTACGGGATGTTGGGTATGTGAACTCACAAAACCATCCCTTGGGTGTTTGCAGAGGAAAATTATTACCTACAATGCTGGAAACAGATTAAGAATGTGCCCTGATTTTTTTCCGGAGGTGTTGCTATCCTCTCTCATGTCCTC